AATGTGCATTAGCGTGTGTACTGAATCCAGCGGTTGGTTTAGATTCATACGAGAGGCCGTAATATAGAATTAATTAGCTTCATAGTGCAGTCCTCCTACCTTTGGGAGCATCTCAATTGCTTTAGGAAAACGTGACAGATTAGGATTGTTTGTCTGAAATGTGGGAAGCCTGGATGTTGAAGAGGGTCTCAGTTACTCTTCAGACTTGTGGCCAGACTTATTCTCCAAGGAATTGGTTCTCCCTAGGTCAAAGGCTCAAAGCTTGCAGTTAGTTCTAGGGTTTCTAGGAGATCATTAGGGGGTTAATGATATTTCAGATCCTCTTACTCTCCTCCTGAGTGTTGGCAAACGTAGACCCAGACATGCCCCCAGCAGACTTCAACGACATCATTCAAGTTCAGTGAGCACAGCACCATTCGCAAGCCTGCTCTCTGGAGTCCAATATTGAGGATGAAAGGTATGTCTGGAACAGATGCAACATGTGTTCTTGTGCATATGCACCACTGCTATAATGTCCATGATGGGGGCCATGTTTCACCTGAGTTCAGTGAGCATGTGTTATGCTCTGTGTTGAAGTCTGTAATACTCCCCAGTGACAGCATTTTTTTTTTTTCATTGTGTTGAAAGTAGAATTTAGTACAATAATGGCTTTGACTTTATTTGACTAAAGTGTCTTTTATTTACTTGAAAATATAACCTATGTGTGCAGAAGCAATCTGGTTAAGCACTGTTATGATTATAATCTCTTGTACTGTCTGTTCCTCTCTTCACAATTGCATAACTGCCCATTATAGATAATAAACCACAATTGACTACTTGAGAGGCCTTTGTAGCAATAAAATTGTAGCAGAAATTTCTTTCTGAATGGTTAGCTATGAAATAAATGTATCTGTGTAAGAAAGTAGAAATCATGAAATTGTCAATTTTGCTGCTGAAACACATTTGAAACAACTGTATTTTCGCAAATACATCGATCAATTTTTGATTAAATAATCTTCAACAAGCTAGTTATCTTTATCTAAGGAGTATATGAAAATGTGAACTCATAAATCATGAAGTTGTGATAGCTGACGTTTTGATTAAGCTTTAATGTAGGAGTATGGGGTGACTGTAATGGAAATGGAACTGTATAAACCTGGCCTAAATATTAAGCCTTTTGACTCAGACTAAAGGAATTCATTCGGTGAGGGTGCCTTCCAGAAACCTCATCCAAAATAGCTCCGGATGCTGGTATCGGCTTAGAGGATAAACTCTAACCTCATTGCCAAAAAAGGATCTAGTTGTTTGTGTCATTGTGTCAGTTTTGTGGTTTGCTTCAGGAAACACTACGCCATCAAGGGAATACGTGTTGCTTCAGGGTGTCTGAAATGAGCATTCGTCTTATGATGCACATTTTATAATTGCCATCAAACTGTTGACTCACATTTGAACTTTAAAATAATGGCAGTCATGATGGTGTCATTGTCATTATTATGAGCGTATGTGGCATCCAATGATTTTGTTAAAGTGGAGATGGCATCCTGTCCCAAGTGTTAAACCCAGCTGCTTTCTATTGTGGTTAATTCAATGAGACATACTTTCTAGCTTGGTGAAGGTGAAGTATTTTTTATTGGTTAACGGCACAATGTGGCTCATGGCTGGCCACTGATGTTGTATGCATCTATCATCAGGTCATCATTTCATTACATCCCATGAATCACTGCTTTTCGGGGCCAAATGCAAATCTTGTATTGACGCCATTCTCCCTTCAACTTGATTAATCAGATGTACTGTGTATTTTCTTTCATTAAAAATGTTAAACCATGTTTAAAGGGATAGTTCACCCTAAAATGAAAATTAAGTCATAATTTACTCAACCTGGTGTTGTTCTAATATGCCGTTCTTCATTTTTCGGACCACGGAAGGAGAAATTTTAAAAATGTCCCACTCGCACTCGTCCATATAATGGCAGTGAATTAGCGACCAGCATCAAGCTTTTAAGAAAAGATGCAAAAGTATCACAGAATGGTATCATGCCATATATTCCAAGTGTAATGGGGGTATATGATAGGGTTTGGTGAAAAACAAACGGAAATGTAATGTATTATTTAATGAAAATCCTGATCTTGGCCTGATCTCTATTAGTGGCATTGTTCACTCCGACTCACCAGTAAAAGGTAATAAAAATAGCTGCAATTAGTTGTATGCAATTTGAATTTGATCTTTATATGAAATTAAATGTGCATTTAGCATGATATTTGATATTGAGTCTGACTGGTAAATGTGAATGAAATATAATTTAGTACATTTATTATTTTTATTATTATGCATTAAAATAGATTTTCTTTTGTAATATTAGAATAAAGCTATCCCTAATATTATGAATTAGATCACAAGAGTAAAACAATGAATGCATTTCTGGGTCAAGTGCTCTCAGACTTCATGGTTCCCATTTGTATCGTTCTCCCATCAGTGTCTTTTTTTAGTTACCACTAAAACATAAAAATAGGGCATTGTATTAGCATTTTTACAATGACCAAACCTGAAGTTTGGGCCTGACTCACGTGTGAATGTGTCTGTGTTCTGTGCACCACACATAATTTGCTCAGTCTCCATTGTTTCTGGTAGGAAACAGACCAGTGTGTTATCTCAGGAATCACTGTAAACAAAGGCATGGAAGAGGCCACATACAAAAGTCTTGTTCATACTCTTTTTGTGGTATTTGGGTTTCCTGAATAAACAGAAGGGAGTCAATGCAGAAGCGGTCATTTCCTACAAGGATTATATTTTTCCTCTTTCCACGATCAGAGCTATTTTCCTTGGTATGCGGTAAAACTGAATGTTTGCAGGTAACGATGTGGGTTTAGAATCTTGTTCAGCTACTATGTCAAAGGTTTTATGATAACATTTGAAACTATGCAATCTTAAAGTCATATTTCATGTAAATGGTTACATTTGTATATATTCTGGCACAGCGAAGTGTCCTGTATCATGAAGAAAAATGGCCTTCAAGATTATACTTTCAAAAAATTGTCAAAAGCTCCTGTTTTTTCTGAAGATCTCCTTTGAAAGAGAGTTAGGTAGGGAGGCCTAGAAAAGCATTGCTTGTACTTATCCGGCCCCAAAAAAAGTATTTTATGTAAATAATAAGTTTTACAGCAAAATGCAAGAGTAAGAGAAAGCTAATTTCCTACCATTTGATATAATGAATTGTCTGCTGTAAACTTGGTGATTTGCCTAATGAGATTTCGATAAAGAAAAAGAAAAAAAGTGTTTATTCACCAGTCAAATGTGATACAGAGTGGCTGGGACCAATACCAAAGACTGGCCTTCTGGAAAGGGGAATTCTGTTGAGGCTCAATTTCTAGTGGTTTTTTTTTTTCTAAAAAAATTTAACACCTCTACAAGAGGGGGAGGGTGTTTTTTTATCGACAGCCATGATCAGCTATGTGGGTAAACTGGGCATGTTTCCTGGAATGTCCCAGACAGCAGTATCATTTTCCATCAGGGACTTCAGGCTGTTTCAGACGCCGTTGGTGTTTTCACACTTCTTGCAAACTTTCATTCTGCTGCGGATTGTGGGGAGGTCAAGACTTTGGGGGTTTGATTGCGTGTGCTAGGGTGTCTCTTGCTGCAGACAGACATGGCTCCGTCTTCACAGGCAACCCTGGATCGCACCCATCAGCTTACTGAGTAAGCAATACTTTCAATTGGCTGAGTCGAGACCATTGAGTTCTGACCATTCCATTCATTAAAGCAGGATTTACATGTCTCAGTTTCACTCTTCACATTCATACATTTTGACATGGGAAAGATTTACCTATATCTGTCTGATTGTGGTACATTCATTTTAAAAACCCATCTCATGAGTAAATAGTGATTTGTAGTGTCAGCATGATTAAATACAACAAAATGTTACCGGCATACAGTTGGCCATTATAACTGTCTAGTGATATGATAAAACAATGGAAAAGTTAATCACATGTGTTTATTATCACAGATTAGATCTACAAATATTGATTCAGTGAGTAGAGTCACAAACCATATTTTCTAAATCAATGAGAGATTGAAACATGCAATAAAAATAACATAAAAACAATTGATTTTTTCTTAGTTGCTTTGGGATTTATACAATATATGCTTAATTGTTGCAGTAGTTCTGTCCAGCACATTGATCATACCCTCTTCAGGATATATAGCTCTGGTGTAACTGTAGGCGTAACTTCATGCTGCTGTCCAATGAATAGGTTGCCCAAAAATTAAAATTCTGTCATCATTTACTCTCGTCTTTCCAAAACTGTATGAATGTCTTTTTTGGAACATGAAAGAAAAAATCTTTTTTTTTCAATACAGTGAGAGTCAATGGGTAACCAAAACTGTTTGGTTGATAACATAAATGACAGAATTAAAAATTGTGTGTGAACTATCCTGTTAAGTGTTACTCTGGTATAGAATCCCTCTTAATGGGATAGTCCACTCAAAAATGAAAATTCTGCCATCATTTACTCATCCTTATATTGTTCTAAACCTGTTTAACTTTATTTCTTCTGCAGAATGTAAAATATATTTTGAAGAATGTTGGTAACCAAACAGTTTCGTGGACAAAAATGTGTGGTTTTTGGGCAGTTTTTGAACCAAAATTACATTGGAAGTCAATGGGAACCAAAACTGTCTAGTTACCAAACATTTTCTGTTTCCATTGACTTCCATTGTAATTTTTGACCATATAATGGAAGTCAGTCAGAACCAAAACTGTTTGGTCACCAAAATTCTTCAAAATATCTTCTTTTATGTTCCGCAGAAGAAAGATTGTCACACAGTTTTGGAACAGTTTTTGGGTGGACTATCCTTTTAAGAAAGAGTAATTTTTCAGGTATGTGGTATTTCCAACAAGTCTCTTAAATTGTGTCCTTGCCTAAGAAAAAGTTAATTGTGACAGAAGAATTGTGAAGAATTCTTTGTAGAAGAAGCTGACAGGCTGCTTTTCCCCAATTTTATTCTGTTTCTCTGTGTCTTATCAGGAGCATTCAGAGCCAGACCTGGTGGAGCAGTTACGTTCAGCGGGTAGCGTGGATGAACTTATGAGGATAGTTTACCCCAGCTACTGGAGCATGCTGAAGTGTCGTTCCAAGGCTGGATCGCGCTTACCTCACAGAGAATACAGCTCCACAGAAACAAGGTCGGAGGAGGCCTCCTTTGCGGCTGCTTTCATCAATCTTGAAATTATTAAAAGTGAGTGACTATTAATTTAACACTGGCACAGATTGTGCTGGCAGTGTTTTTTGTCATTATTGTCTTAAAGCCAAGAATTTTATATACTTTTTGACAGTCCTGACAAAAAGTTTCTTTAGGATGCCAAGAATGTGTCAGACCATGATCTGCAATAATTGCAGTGCATACAAATCCATGTATTTCACTGCTGGCCTTTTTTTTTAATGTGCCTCTTCTTCCTGTCTCGCTGCGCTTCCTCCAGGTATTGAGACAGAGTGGAGAAAGACCCTGTGCATGCCACGCCAAGTTTGTTTAGATGTGGGGAAAGAGTTTGGGGCAGCTACAAACACCTTCTATAAACCACCCTGCGTGTCTGTCTACAGATGTGGGGGCTGCTGTAACAGTGAGGAGCATCAGTGCGTGAACATCAGCACTTCATACATCAGCAAGACGGTGAGTGACTCTTTCAGCATGTGTTTGTGTCCACAAATCTGTTTTGAACCAATGATGAGCAGTACTGACCCTAAAGTGTAATTTTGCTGATGTTAGTGTAATCCAGCCCGTTCTCATCCCAAGGCGTCATACATGTGACGCTTTTGACATTTCGTCGAAATCTTACACACATGGCATCCTTTAGCGTCAATATGAGACGCAGATCCCAAGGCGTCAGTGTTGGGAAAGTTCTTTTTCTACATGAACTAGTTCAAAGTTCAGTTCACAAATTTTAAAATGAACTAGTTTAGTTCATAGTTCATTCTTCAAAAAATGAACTAGTTCATAGTTCTTTTTTTCCATATGTTGCTGCGAGCTTCTTTTTTTAAATTATTGCCACAGCCCATATACAACCACAGACAGCAATTATTTTATCGACGGGCAAAGTTTGCACAGAAATGTAAGATTTTTCCCATCCTCACCAACCTTGTCAACTCGTTAAAATGATCATACAACGCCTCCTCACTCGCTGCTTTTGTCGAGCTCATGCTGCTTTTTGTTTTGATGAATCATGCGGCGGAGCGACGCTGGTGGCTGGTGTTGCCAGATTGGGTGTTTTTTCTCGCTACATATTAAGGCCTGTTTACGTGTGTTTTAGCCGGGTTTTCGCCTGGAAGGCTCCATAGAAATCTGGCACCCTATTGAGCGAAGTTAAACTGAGAGAGCGTGCGTTCACAGACACCAGAATGAACGTGTTCACAGTAACGTTCATCAGGCAGTAATTCAGTACGTTCAGTTCACGTTCGCCCTAAATATGAACGAGTTCATGAACTATCGTTCATTGAACACGTTCAGGCACAACACTGCAAGGCGTCATAACCGTAACCCTACCCCAGACCTAAACCTACCCATTACAGTGCGTGTTATATTGACGCTAAAGGATGCCATGTGCTTAAGATTTCGACGAAATGTCATATGGCGTCACCTATATGAGGCCATAGGATGATAATCTGTTGTGTAACCCCATCATCCACAAGAGAGGAGAACTCCGAAAAGGGCAACATCCACAGTGTGTTTCTTGCAAATATAACAGTTTATTATACAACATTCTTCAAAATATATTTTATGTTCCGCAGAAGAAAGATTGTCACACAGTTTTGGAACAGTTTTTGGGTGGACTATCCTTTTAAGAAAGAGTAGCACGTTGGGTATTAGGAAATTGAAAAGAAACAAAACAAATAAAAAAACAATAGTTTAACAGGTACAGACAACATGGTTCCCAATCCTATCCAACGGGAATTACTTGCCAATAAGTGCACACTCAAATCACAGATGATCAAACAAAAACAATTTCACTCCAAACCAAAAGTAATCAAATCAAACCACCATAAATGATTCCCCCCACCTTAACAAAGTAAACCATCTATAAGGAAATGGGAACCACAAAATAAACAAAACAAATAAAACAAACAAAACAAAACACAATCTCACACATTAAATCACTTTGCCACTTCACCATGCAAGACCCAATTTAACCTTGGGGTGTATTCACACCAGGAAAGTCCGATAAGCAGGGGCGTCAGTTTGTGTTGAAAAGTGGTGGGGACAAAAGATCAGATGAAAAAAACATACAACAATATAAAAATAAAAAAAACAATATCGGCGCGCGTTATTCGTCAGCGTTTTTCAACGTGTTTTTTTGTGTTCACACTCAAGCGATTTTCGCTGACGATGAGCCGAGTGAACATGCAAATTCATTCCCTGACATTAGATGGCGCCCATTTGCTCTGCAATACCACTCCATAACATTCTCTTTTATCAAGATTTTTGTAGTCGCTGTGGCGTTTGTCATATAGTTCTTTATGTTCCGACACCAGCAGCTCCACATTCATCTGGCCTTGCATCTTCCTCGTCTTATTTCTTCCCGGCAGTGTAGACGCTACTTGGCGTATATCTTCTTCGCCGTTGCGTATGTGTGCTCGGCAAGACCGTTTTGTGTGTGAGCGCCCCCAAGTTGTGTTTTACTGTAACTTCAGACGCTCCAGAAACGTGAGCAAAAGAACCAATCTCACTGGTCGGATAGTTTTTGACGTGGCGCGTCAAACAAAAAAAACGAACCCGAAACCTTTTTTAAAAAATGACGCTTTTACGCATGGCGTTTTTCGTGTCGGTGTGCACACTCACATTGGCGCCCTTTGTTTAGTCACGAGGCGTTAAACATCAGCGCGCGAAATTCGTCCCGGTGTGAACAGGCCTTAAAACCCTCAACAATGTCGACTGCACATGTAACTGTCCCTGCACCATACTACAGGGCTCGACATTAACGCTTGTCCGCTTGTCCGGGACAACTGGATTTTTTGAATGGACAAGTAAAAGAGAATTTTAATTGCCCCACCGGACAAGTAGGCTCCACAGGCTGCGTGCTCGTTTGTCCCCGGGGGACACCACACACGAGGAGAAATGGGGCCAAAAAAATCAAACGTGTTGGATATCCCCGATTAGAGATCTGAGCGGTCCCGGCGTCCTTCCGAGCAGACGAGAGGAGTCTTAACACACCACACACGGCAGGAATATCTGATCAGATTATTTTACGATAATCGGAGCATCCTTAAGATTGTCGGAAGGGGTAAATCGGGGCTAAAATCGGCCTAAATATCCTGCCGTGTGAACCAGGCTTTACTGATCGGCGCATGCATGTTTTTGGGTCATTTTAGAATCAGTAATAGTTTATTTTGTTTAAGTTACTTTTTTGGACAATGTGCATTGTTTCTTTCTGTATCTAAACTGCATTGCATGTTTTATTTTGTGCAAATAAACCTTTAACATTTCTTGGTTCGCTTGATTTTTCAGAACATTTTAACCAAATGCTTTCAAAAAGTGGTGGGGACAAAATCAGCCATTTCAAAAAGTGGTGGGGACATGTCCCCAGCGTCCCCAGTGTAAATGACACCTATGCCGATAAGTCACTTGCTTTGGTCCGGACCCAATTTTTTTTTATTTTTTTTGGTACGGTTTGCTTTCACACTGCTCTTTTTGCAAGTGAACCAAAATTTGTAAACAAAACCACACGTGTGCTAAGGTCGTCCATTCATTGGACAAGGATTCTCAAGTAGGGAAATCAGGAAGTGCAAAAAAGGCTCAGCATGGAGATATTTCGTACTGCAATATTTATTATTTTACTAATTTTGTGTTATTCTGTATAAACAAAAGTATGAAGAAACTGCGCAGAAGACGGATAAGGTATAAGTTTTCATTCATAGAGAGGGGCTATGTTCACACATTCAAATAATGAGATTCATATTGTATATACTGCTAACAAGTGCTGTCAATGTTAACGCTTGCGATTAAGTTTGTCCAGTTTAACGCAGCATCATCCTTGTATTGTAACTATCGTTACATTATATGAACTGCAAAAGCTTTATTTTTTTGCATCTATGCGCGATTAGACTAAAGAGAACGCTCTGTATGTGAATGTCCTGATGCACACACTCATTCATTCATTCATTCCATTCCAATGATGCACACACGACGCGCAGAAAGACGCGCAACAGTATCGTGTGGCCAGACAGCGCATATTGAACAACAATAACACAAACCAATGCCAAAATCTCCGACTACGGAAGCCTGTTAACTCAAAGGCGCAGTGCTTTCTTGCAATTGGGTCGGTTCATGTTCACACCATAAACGAACCGTACCAGAGTTCGTTTGGAACCGTACCGAGACCACCTCTTCAGCTGGGTCTCGGTTCGTTTCTTTGGTCCGCACCCGAGTTCGATTGCTGTATTCACACCTGCCCAAAAGGTCCGCACCAAGGGGGGAAACGAACTAGAGTTCGATTCAATGGAACCAAACAAGGCAGGTGTGAATACACCCTTAGTCATCTCTTCAGACACCCGTTTAAGCCACCAATGTTTTCAATAAAAAGTAAACCGCAATCATGCATCATCTGTAAAGAACAAAGAAAATACAATTCATGACTGCCCTATAAAGTATCTACAGGAATAAAAAAATAAAAAAACACTTAAAACCATTCAACATAAAAAAAAAACAGATTACAATATAAAAAGCTTAAAACCAAATTTCCCGAATCAATTGAGGTCAGTACCTGTATTCGTACATGTATCTGCTTAATTCTCTGAGGAACCAATCAACCCGTTTCCCAGAAGGACACTACAACAAAAAGCAAATACAAATGTTCAAACTAAACAACTCACTTTAGCCATAATAAATCACAACACTTACCTTCACATTTCATTTATATGCTGCTCATTAATCATATGGTCTTTTCATCTGCTATTATACACAGCCTTGAAAAACACCACACAGCTTCTCCTTAACACTTGGTACCACAAAGAGAAAGCCCAACAAGTTTGATTTCCTTTTATAGTGCCTTGACTCATGGGCTTTGTAGTCCAACTGATTTGTAGTCCTATGCCTTCTACCCCATTACATTAGCAAACTGAATTTGGCTGATGCAGGCGTTTACCAGGGCCGAGAAATTCAAGTTTTTTTGTAAAAATTTTGTGTCATTAGGCAGACTTTTGATAGCTTCAGGACTTTTGTGAAAACTACAGATTACACTTCCGCAATTTTGTATCCCTGTCCACTGACAGTCGGATCGACAGAGGGTTATTAACAGAACAGTTATTGTTAGGGTAGGTTTATAAATAAAAAAATGTATTGTACTTTGTCTACTCTTTAAACAGCATTATGGTAAAATGTAATATTATGGCAGCAGCTTTCTTACCTGTACGCGTACATTTTCCTGTTTTCTCTAGTCAGGTAGCACTGATTTCAAACAGTTTATTTTTGCTTTTCATCTGCATAGGCAGCCAAGTTTCACTGAAAGTCCATTTTGCCAGCGCGGAAGTACCCCTTTAATATTTACATTGGGGAATGCAGGAATAATGACTTCAACATGAAAAAAAAATCTATTGAATGATAAATATTTATTTGACTGACTTTCCAAAAACAGAAGGATTAAGAGATATATACAGTTATTTAATGTAAACTATAAATATACTATAAATGAAATGCAGTTATTTCTAAAAACGGGATTGTCTTTTAAATTTGAGACACTTTCAGTTTAAGCCCCGCCCATATCTGGTTCTTTCTGAATACAGATCTAGAATATTTTTTTCATTGTATCAAATACAGATATATATGTAGGCAACTGTTTCGTTTCATACCTTTAACCAACACCTTTTTAAATTTAATTTAATTGTAAACTTCGATAATCTTCAATAAAGATGTTCATTACTGCTTTGAATAAAAGTGTCTGCTTTTGTTTTAAAGCCTACTTCCCTTTGCAGAGAGAACTGATCTGTTCAGCTTTGATTTAGAAAGTTGTGGATAAGGCAGGGGTTTGGTTGTGAGGTCATGGCTGTGAATTATTTACAAGAAGGCCTCCTTTAATTGCCCACTTATTTTGGGTGGGCTGACCTTAGCAGGCAATGGGTTCTCCTCTTGTGATTTAAACCATGACGCCCTCCCACCAGTTGAGCATCTGAGCAGGTCAAGGCCTCCATGTCCACGCTACTGCAGCAGAGATGTAACACTCCCATTCTGGGCACAAAGCCTGAACAACAGATGCAATCTGAAGATGTTTCAATATATTTTAGTAAGATTTGGATTATGAAATTACAAGCTCCAGGTTTCAATGACAAAATGACTGGTCAAGAAGTAAAAAATGCATCAGATGAACATGGTTGTGTTTTGAATTAATGGTATTAGTATTGATACGATACTGACATTGAGCACAATATAATGTAATGACAACAAGACTTCAAGAGTAAAATATCAAGTGTATATCTGTGATGTACTGTAACTGTAACAAGGGAATCTGTTAGCTTGTCATCTAAAAAAACATATTAAATGGACCTGGTTTCATCTAACCCTTGTCTCACCTGCACATATGTAATGCCCATGCCTATTAGACTGTTAATACTGCAGTAAAGTCATTTTATCATCAAGACTGGTGGGCTGACAGATTTACAGAGTGATCAAGTGAAGCTTTTGGGATCGCTTGTCCTGGTAAAAGCAGTTAACAACTAAATAATGGAGTTCTGCAAACATCAAAGAAAGAGAGTATTTCACAAGCTTTTGACCCTATTCCATTTAACCAGATCAATCTTCTATCTGTAGAGTAGAGCTGCTTGTTAGTGTTTCCATTGTTCTTGATTTAACATTAGGTGTTAAAAATAGTTTTCTTATACTTACATTGTGCCTTTGTATTGCCTGTGCATTCTGGATTGATGCCAGTCCGATACAGTACATTTTCACAGATTTTGAATGCTAAAGAAGTGATCTTTAGATGTACTGTAGCTATGCATTTACAAAGTGGCTAAATGATGCTTCTGTGTACCTAAGAGGGATAGAAGAAGATGAGTCCAAGGAGAGGTAGAAAAGAATATCTGCTGAGTGAAGTGAGCCAACCAGAGGAGACTGGAATATCCAACGCTATCTCACGACCAATTCGTACGAATTCGTACGAGTGATTAAAAGGTGGCTAATTCGTACTAATTCATATGACCTCGCTCGTACGAATTTGTACGACTTGTCTAAACCCACGTGATGGGTAGGTTTAGGGGCGGGGTCAGGGGTAGGTCATTCGTACGAATTCATACGAATTTGGTAACTCGTAAAATATGTACGAATTAGCAAAAATCGTACGAATTTGTACGAGTGAGGTCGTATGAATTAGTACGAATTAGCCACCTCGTAAAATTCGTACGAATTGCCATGAGATCGGGCTGGAATATCACATAATTATCTTCCTCATCAGAAATAATTCATTTATGTGTGCCTTGAGAGTGATTTGTTAATCCAACATGAGCTGACATTGGAGGTTTAACATTCCAGAATGTTTGGAAGCTTGTTTGTTTGTTTTTCCTGCTGAAAGAATCTGCTGCCTTGGTTGCTGAAGGTTTCTATAGCACCCACTATTCTTGTCAAAGACACTGAACTGAGTGGAAGAGTAGACATAAGAGTTTGATGAGTAGACAAGACAATACAGACCAAAATTAAATGTATGGCATCTATGACTCAGCCTCATGCCGTTCCAGGCCTGTATGACTTTCTTTCCATGTTCTTTTCCATGCAATTACATTTATCTTTACTGAAGCTTTCAAACTTAAAAAAAAGACAAAGCAATCACCATAAAATTATCCTAAAGGTGGTGAGGTACCACTCACAGCTCACTGAAGGGAAAGTTTATCAATGAATTTCGATTGGTTTCGAAGTTCATTGATGCTATTGTACTAGCACACAAGTCATATGGTGCTTCAAAGCAAAAACAAAAAAAATCCCATTTATCAGAAATTCTCCTTTTATGTTCCACAGAGGTAAGAAAGTCATATGCATTTGGAGCAACATAAGGGTGAGTGAATGAGTACAGAATTTTCATTTCTGGGTGAACTGTCCCATTAAGGAATTTATTGAATCATGTAGATTAGTCAGATCCAATGATGCTTTTAGGCAAATTAGTTTTTTTGAAAGCACACCAACTTTCCTAATGTTCTCAATCATTCTCATAAAAAAAATCAACAATGAGACTCTTTGTCATTTATGATATATATGACATAAAACATAAAATTAAAACTAAATGTACTTGGCCATTTTAGCTGCACAATCCCGTTACAAGCACGATTGCACATTCAACATAAATTCCTTGGAATGTTTCCCCATAGCTGGAGGAAGTTTTGATTTATTGGTCTAACATTATTTGCCTGCCTTGCAAATTATCTTGCACAAGTTCCCCATTTCCCCTTACCAGTTTGTTTGATCAGACTGTAGTTGTGGTTGTGTCTGTACACTGATTTCACAGAAAGACAACTCCTTGCACAACTCCTTTAGACATAAATCCATTCATTAATCTTGATTTAGATATAATTGACTGCCCACAATTCATTTTGACATCTAGCAAACTCCTTAAAGTATAAGTAACCTTACATGCGGTCTCACATCTTACGTCAGCAGTTAGTCTGTGTAATTCTGTAGTATTTTATTGAAAATGTGACCTTTCTTCTATTTTCACTCTGCAGTTGTTTGAAATCACAGTTCCCATCAAGCAAGGGACCAAGCCAGTCACCATAAGCTTCGCCAACCACACCTCCTGCAGTTGTTTGTCAAAACTGGATGTGTACCGACAGCGGCACTCAATCATACGAAGGGCCCTAGCAGAGTAAGTGTACACACTCCTTTATATCTCCCAAAGCACTATTTTTGAAGTGTGTAAACCCAAATTATGTCAAGGGTTTTAACATGTTAAATATTTAAGTTTACAATATTCTCTCATTTATTTGTTCTTTTGAATGTCCGAGAGGTTAGAATAGAATGTCAGTGTTAGACTAACACTGGTCTACACAGTGCTCAACTGTTGTCACGTTGCATCATGCCACATCAGCTTGAGGCTGTCTGTGAATGTGAAAACCATTGTTTCCAAATCCATTTGTACTTTTTTCAGAAGTAGCGCAAGGAGTTAAGTTAGAACAGGGAATCAGTTTATTGTCTCATCCATGTGTAGTCATTATCACTGATTACGTATAATGGTATAAGAGTGACATTTTGAATATCAATATAACACTGTAGAGATCTCTTTATATAATAAACAGATTGAATTTAGGCTTTTATTCACATAAACATTAATCAACTCACACATCAGTTGTGGTACACGGAAGCTCAAGCATGATCAATGTTTATATGTGAAAGAACTTTCATTTTTGGTGAACGATCTCTTTAAATATATATAATTACACTGAAACAAGGATATCTTAAAAATAAACTTTCTTTTGCAGAACGATGCTAAAGGTGCGGTCATATTTACCATTGTTCGTCAAATTTTCATTTTAGTAGGAATCCATGCAATTGGAAATTTTGCGTAATGGAGAAAAATGTCGTTTTTGCAACGGGTTCAAGCTGCTTACGTGGTTTACCAGTGTACCAACAGAAAGTGGCTTGATTTTAAAGTGACTTCTGTATGAGCCGTGCATCATGCATCACTACACTATTTACACTGGTCCTAATTTGTGACTGCACTTTAAAGGTCCCGTTCTTCATGTTTTTTTGAAGCTTTGATTGTGTTTACAGTGTGCAATATAACATGTGTTCATGTTTCGCGTGTAAAAAAACACAGTTTTTTTCACACAATTTACTTATCTGTATACCGCAGTTTTCACTGTCCAAAAAACGGCCTGATGACTTCCTTGTTCTATGAAGTCCCTCCTTCAGAAATATGTAACGAGTTCTGATTGTGCCAGCGGTTCCTGTGTTGTGATTCGACAGCAGCTTATCGCACGTTGCCCTGAAAGGTCACGCCTCTTACCATAAATTGGAGATGCATGCGCAGCTGAAGTGCTTCTTCTCCGTGGGAGCGCAACAAGACCACGCCCCCTTTTTTTGTGTATTCCTGTGGGCGGAGATTAGTCAAAAAACTGTTTTAGTTACGTCATTAAAAAAGGAAGTAGAGGGATGTAGTCCAAACCGGCCGTTCGCTGTATGCTTTGAAAGGGGACTTCTGTTAAATAAAATATCTCGCTAGGCATTGAACTTTGAGCTTTATAATTCTACAGGTATTATTTATGCTCTAACAGCAACATTACACACTAATTAAAGTTTGAAAAATGGAATCGCGAAGAACGGGACCTTTAAGATTATATGAGGTAATAATCTAAAAAAAACAGTAGCACATACAAATAGAGTAAAATAATACATTTTTAATCCCACTGAACTATTTTGTCACATCGATAAAGTATTTGAATTAAAAAGTTTCTTTAAAATAATATTATAATAGGTTAACTTATAAGAGATGAAGTATCATCATCCAAGACATTCAAGATATTGCCTTTATTTTGTATACCAAATGTGCTTTGGCCCTGAGTAGCGTCTCATCAGCGGATATGTGGCTGCTCTAATGTGTGTATTTTGGATGTAACTGCACACCCAATGACGTACAGTAGCTCATCAAATTGATTTTCATATCGGCAGTGTGGTGTGGCCACCCATTGTTACGGCTGACAGAGAACTTCCTGTTCATATGTTTTAGGAATTTTATCAGGAAAATCCCAGTAGAGAATCCTAATGAACTTACCGTGCAATGTACAGACTTGATTAACTAATCAGCACCGACAAGTGAGCTGCAAAGCACATGTATTATTTTGTTGCCTAATGATAAAAAGCCTATATTTATGTTATTTGTATCAGATGTCCAAATTAAAAAGAATGTTTCAATTAATTTTAGGCTGGTAGTATGCAATTCATGGGTTTGATTCCAGGTATTTTTAACTCAGTAAATACCATGACTGGCAGTTTTTTTACCAAAAGTTTATCTCTGCTTTTAATATATTGTAAGCTGCTTTGGATCAAAACATTAGCTAAACAGTTACGAAACGGTTAATGGAACTTGCATTTTATGCATTCTATAATATGGATAAAAAACTAGATATTCAGAATGAACCATTTTAGAGTTAATACATAGATTGTAACCCCCTGACTCTAACCGCATGCACATTTAAAAGGCTTACAATAGTTCTGCAGGGGTGAGAGAGTATGTATTGCTTGCTTAAACTCAAACCAATATTGCCTGTGGATCACACTGTATCATCAAAAGCAATTTGATACACAGAGCAACCTTGAGTTTTAGCCACCAGAGATAAAGAGAGAGACAGAAATATATTTTTTTCTCTAGTCCTAAACCCAGTTTCTTTATCTCCGATGCCTTCGCATCTTCCCTTGCCGTCACAGTGAAGGATAGAGGAATCATTCTAATGAGAATAGAGCTGAGCAGAGACGCACAGCGAGAACTGTAAACGTAGAAAGATAATGAATCAACTGTGAAACTATTTAATTTTTTTTTGCCGCATCAGCTTAAAAGTTTTCTGTAATGCAGCTTAGCATATTTAGCATTTTTTTTATATTATGCAATACTTAATCATTATTTAATGTACATTCAGTTCAGAATTTCATGAAACTCATAGTTGATAAACTCATAACTGAATGTATATGAACTGATCATTTAAGCATATTACATGTGTATCTAACTGCTGTTTTAATCTGATTTCCATTAAATGGTATACATTGTTTTTGACTAAGGTGTTCACACTTGTAGTTTGGGTCGCTTGGTTTGTTTGGTTCGGGCCCCAAAAAAACCCCATTTAGTCCTAGTCAGATTGCCATTTTTAACACCGAACCTAAAAGGTCCATCTTGGTCCGCTTGTTTGGCGCACACCAGGATTCAGATGGCAACGTTCAGACTTATTCAAATGAACCGCACTAACAGAGTTATCGCACCACGGTTCGTTTTAACCAAACATGCCAAGTGTGAACACACCCTAAAATGAGCTAAGAGAGCTCCCTAGATTTTGGGAATCCAAGTTTTGTATCATGAAATGCGAGTTCCAATTACACACTAATAAACTATCACCTTTTATCTTTTTGCCAATGACTTAATGCTGTTTTACAAAAGCAATAGGTTGGTTTCACGTGACGTCACGCTGCTGCATCGCGAGAGCGCGAAAATTCAGATGGAGGGCAGGAAGTGAAATAGCTGAGGATCTGCCATCAATGTTTTGTGTAGTTTACGGCGGCTCCAATCGTTCTAATCGAGAAAAGGGAAATGTTTTTTATAGAGTACCAAAGATTGTCATTCGTAAAGGTGAGAAATGTAAAAAGCTCACAGAACAACGCCGTAAAAAGTGGATTTTTAACGTAACGTTACGTCTGCGGTTTGGGAGGAGCAGAGTCTGTTAATGCCGTGTCTCTGCAGCGAAGGTATGTTAGCTAGCCAACGTGTTCTTTTGTGTCTGTGTTTATATAGCATTAGGTTGTCGTTCAGAATCAGTGGGAATGGGACATTAAATGATCAAGGTAAATTAGACTCAATACGGACTCTCCGCAACGGTTTCCTCCATAGACGTATTCTTCATGTTTACTTCCTGCCCTCCATCTGAAATCGCCCCGCCTTCCCGCTTCATCATAATCACGTGACTGAAACCCAGCTATAACACTGTCGATTGTTCTATATTGTGGTTTTTGGCATGACTGTGCTGTGGTGTCATGTTTTTGCATGTCAGGAACCACAATGAAGCTCAACCTCCAATTTGTGTTTGCATAAACATTACAGGTGTTGATCGCATAAAACATCCTGGAAATGAGTTGCAAAATACTGTCTTGAATAGAATGGGAACACTGAGTTTGTTTTCTATCATTCAGTATTTTTTTTAGAATGAAGCACAGCCCCTGTTTTCAACTCTGTCTTGTTCCCTTGCATACTTTGTGTAAATGTTTATCATTTTATCCCCTCACAGAACGAAGGATTAGCCCATTCGCTGTTCGTGACAGAAGTCAGTGTGCTAAACAGTGACTCATTGGCACGCGTACTAAGAGGAAAGGAGAGAAAAAGAGTGAAAAAACGTAATAATGTACGCTTTATTTGCAAAAACAGCGACTGCTCTTTCTGTGTGGAGGAAACGTATCGATTCCACATGTGTGGCATTGGAAGCCAGTACGTTACGCCATTGCTCAGAGATCTGTTTGCAAACAGGAGGGGAAGCATACATACAGTGCTGTGCCGCCGTTGAACATTTGATGACTTTGTTTAGTAAAACATTTCCTGTCAGATGGAGCAAGGAAGGCATTATGTCAGTAATAAAATATGAAATCAGTAATGAAAACTAGTCAACAACTTTTACTTGTCTTTTTATGCTGGTTAGTCATTTGCATTGTGTATTTGGTGCTGTATAGTGCATTCAAGGAAAGAAAAATTGCATCACTAGCACTGTTATAACAGTTGAGCTACAGTAACTTCATGATAACTAACTAACTTCATGGTGTTTACAGATGTCTCCAGAATTTCAAGCATCTTGGTTAACACCAAACTGCTTCCATAAATCAGCGTTAAAGGGATAGTTCACCAACTCATCACATACTCAACCTCTCTTTTTTCATCTTTGAAATACAAATGAAGATTTGTTTAATGAAACCTGAATAAATCTCATGTTCTCTTTTGAAAGTCCATTTCACCAAACCTTTGGTGCTTCAAAAAGTTCACAAAGACATATTAAAAGTAATCCATATGAAGTCTTCTGAAGAGACACTGTCACTTTATATAATGAACAGATTTAATTTAGGCTTTTATTTACATATAAACATTGATCAACGCACATACACCGAGCACAATAAGCATGA